CTCCAAATGTCCTTGGAGGATTGTATGGTCAATGCTGCGGGGAGCTTTGACAATGAGGTAACGCAACTCCGGGTTTTGAATCCTGGCATCGAGTTTAACACGGCTGGAATGAGGCTCCACTACTATGTGGAAGATGGCAAGATAGTTATCCATGAGTTCCTTCAGATTGACGAGGACATTGAGGTTGATGAGCCCTCTTATGTGGATCATGTTCCTGTGGTCGGTGTAAATGCGAGGGGACTTCAGTCCGGTGTTAGATAAGCTTTTGTTTCAGCCTGCGTGCCATTTTATTGTAACTTGTTTGGTGAGTTTTGCCCTTTTTTTATGTAAGTTTTAAACAATCTTTGTCCTTGTGGCCACAAGTTTGTCTTTTTGACAGGGGGCCTTGGGCCTCCCTTTTGTAATACTTTGTACAATTTCAACCTTGGTGATCGTCTTTTTAATTTTCCGACCATGGTGGTCTTTTTTAATCTGTATTGTTCAAGTGTTTTTCACTCTATTTTATGCTCGATCTATTGATTATATGGAATGTTTGCATGATTTTTTATGCTTGTCTGTTTACGATGTTTTTTTATTTATTAAGAATTTGTGGGGGTTTGCTCGTTAGTTTTTGATTTCTCTAGTGTGGAGAAACTTGTCAAACGGCTAGAGCAATTACTGGGCATGAGCTGGAACTCATGTTTCACTTTGAGGACCCGAGTTCGGTGGCATGAACTTCCCACCGCGAGCTGGGTGTTCTGCCATCGTGGTACGACGATGGTGGAGCTCGTTTGAGTTATCCACATTGGGCTAAGGGTCTACTTGTCAAAAGAGAGGAAACTTGCCTCTTCGTTTAATTTCGAGTGCCATGCTTGTACCTAGGCATGCACATGTGGTCGGGCATAGGTGCGTTCGTTGTGTTGACGAGACACACCGACTGTTCAGTGATTTAACTGTAATTTTGCCTTAGTTTTTTGGTGTTCCAAGATCAAGAAAGTTGTTCCCCTGTAGGTTTTCCAAGTAGTAGGCTTCGTTCCCCGTTTTCACATGGACGCGGTAAGGGCCTTCCCAGTTTGCGATGAGCTTGCCTTCGTGAGATTCTTTATGATTTCTCTTTACAACTAGGCTACCGACTTCGAATTCACGCTGTATGACTTTGACATCATATCTTATGGCGATTTTTTGTTTAAGAGAGGCTTCTCGTAAGGCCTCTCTTGTTCGTATTTCCTCGAAAAGGTCTAGCTCCTCCCTTAATGAAATGTCGTTCATCTCCTCGTCGAGGGGGCTTCGGTCCATCTAGAAGGCTCCCTGATTTCTATGGGAATGATGGCATCGATTCCGTATGCTAGTCGGAAGGGGGTCTCTCTAGTTGACGAGTGAGTTGTTGTCCAATAGGCCCAGAGCACGTCGTGTAGCTCCTCGATCCATCATTTCTTAGTCTCGTCCAGTCTTCATCTGAGGCCTCGTAGGATCACCCTATTCGTGGACTCAGCTTGCCCGTTTGTCTGAGGGTGTTCGAAGAAGGCGAAGTGTTGGATGGTGCCCAACTTGGCAACGAATTCTTGGAAGTTTTTGTCTGTGAATTGCGTCTCGTTGTCGGTGAGAATCGCTTGTGGAATGTCGAAATGAGCAAGGATGTTTCTTTTGTAGAAATAGAGAATGTTTTGCATGGTGATTCTGGCCAGCGCTTCTGCCTATATCTACTTGGTGAAGTAGTCGACAACCACTATCAGATATTTGTTCTAGTTTGTTCCCACCACAAATGGTCCAAGGAGGTCCAAGCCTCACCAGGCAAAGGGCCATGGTGAAGAGAGAGATTTGAGATCGCTTGGAGGTGCTATGTGCATGTCCCCGTGGCGTTGGCATTTGTCGCATATCTTCACGTGTTCTTTAGCGACATGCTGCATCGTGGGCCAGTAGTATCCTACTCGTAACGCTTTTCTAGCAAGGGACATGTCGTCCAAATGTTGGTCGTTGATTCCTTCGTGGATTTCATGCAAGACGTGGTTGCTTTGTGCTGATCGATAGATTTAAGGAGAGGGATGGAAAATCCTCTCCTATACAGTGTGCCTTTGACCAGAACGTAGGAGTAGGCTCTCCGCCTGACTATGCTAGCTTCTTTCTGATCGGTTGGTAACTCCTCTTTCGTGAGGTAGTTGTACACTGAGGTCATTCATCAGTCATTGTCCCCTATGGCGTATATGTCGAGAGTCGAGGATGGTTTTTCAATAGATACCATTCCTCCTCGGCGTCCTCTACTTCCATCCCCGTGTGCACTAAGGTAAACACTTCGTCTAGATGCTCGCAAAAATGAGAAACCCACTTCAATGGATCATGCGTGACCCAAGCTAAGGGATCCACTCGAACCACCGACACGTCCTGAACAGCAAGCACACCCTCATCCACTTCGATCAGCTCTGGCACAATCGGATTTGATTCAGGTATCCTCGAAGTGCTCCTCTCTGTCGACGAGCAATCGAAAAGACTTAGCAAGGAGTCACTGGGTACGACCATAAACTCGTCTTCTGTACCAATGGCCATTATACTTGAAAAGCATATGACAAAGTGAATTCGACATCAAATCAAATCCACTCTTCCACCGCTAATCAAGTGAAAAGGCGCAAAGGAACGAGGACCCTGTCCCCGGATAAAGCCCCCACTCAAATAACAAAGCAAAGACACTCTATTGTCGGGCAGTATCTCCCCAACACTGTTGGGTTGATGCCGCTCCTGGAGATTCATCGTCCCTCACGAAGATCATAACATGAACCCATAAATGGCCCCAATATCGCCGGAAAGTTCATCACAAGCCATTACCACCTATACTATGTTTAAAGCGTCTCTACATAACGCGTGGAGGAACTACCGTCCTCAGGCGACATAACCTCCATCTGCAACCAACACTCCGCCAGGAACCCTCACACTAAGCTACTCTAAGCCCTAAACCACATGCATTTCTAAGAAAAGAGGCACAAAGTCTAGCCTATAACAAAAATAAATTCTACCGAAACAGGGAAGGAAATAGAAACTTACCAAATTATCGGCGGAGCAAACAACGACGAACGCCAAAACAAAAGAAATGCTTCAAAGAATAACTATGTCGAGCGGAAATAAGCATCGTCGGGCAGAAGGAGAGCAAGCAAAAAAGTGCAAATGAAGCTCCTTCTCCCCCCTTTTATAGAGCAGTACGCTGGCACGTAAGCGAGCACACGCCTAGGGAACCCTAAAAGGCACCATCATTACGCCTTAGTCCATAGGCTAGCCAGCATCACGCCTTTATGACAACACGCAGCTTGATGCAAGCGTGGCACGCAAATTCCCCAGATTCCAACTAGTTGTTCCTCTTCCCGGGAGATGAACACACCGAGCAACTTTCAAACTCCTCGTACGAAATTTCCCCTCGAAACACGATAACTCCTTGGAGCCGCTCAATTGTTTCTCTCTCCATGAGGCAAACATGTCGAGCATCACTTGTACTCCCCGTGCGAAATCGACCAACGAGAACCCCCGTCTCGCAAACACATATTAAAGTCATCACTCCTATGCCCAGAAGCAACGACTTGGAGGGCTCCTATTATGGACTGGCTCAACGACTAGAATTGGCTCAATTCGCTTCTATCCTTGGCACGATCCAATAACACCGGCCCAACATCCCTAGTCGACCATGCCCCAAGAGGCGCGACTAATGATGCTCGATACACGGAGCTGCCCAAGTTTGCAAGTATCTTTATGTCTGTCCGACACGAATCGAGCAGACAACCAAAAAATGTCCAGAACGCATCTTTTCCCGTAATATGCCTCCTCCTCGAAACAAATGGCTAGTTACTGACACATCTGTTTGTTTTAACCAAGTCCTAATAGTCACTTATTTTTGCGGACCCACATATGCAGACTCAAAAATAAGGATCAATGACCAAGCGCCGAATGCATTATATAAACCCCCACATATGTGAGGGCCAGGTATTCAATATTCAAATCTTAAACCCTAATATTCTACTTTTATCTCTTTCCACCCATTCTTACTTGATCGTTGGAGTGCCTTGCAGGTACAAGCCCCCCTATTTTCTCCTCAATTTTCCAACAAACCAGACGTCATCCTTCGACCCATTTGTAGATTCTGAGCAATCGGTAAGATCAAGAATATTCTCTTTTCAATACTCTCTCAAAAAATATCTTTTTATTAATTGAAACATGTGTGAGTCCAACTATTTTGTGAGACCTGTTTCTAAAGTAAGGAATTTACACATGTTTCAACCAATAAAAAAGTGAGTATTTAAAAGAGTGTTGTAAAGATAATGTTGTTAACACTACTCTTTGCCTAATTATTCTGAACTCTACTTCCAATATATTATTTTCCTTGTCTCATAAAAAACATCTTATTTTCTTTACAATAGCAATGCCACATTTATTATTTTTTTATTATCATTTTTTTTTGTTTTCGCATTCTGATTCTTAGGAAAATGAGGTCCTAATAATCTAGAGTTCGTGTCGAGAGATATAAGTACTGACCAAACGTTATTCTCACTTAAAAATCATATCCAATATTTTCTACATTACGTCCTTAACAAAAATTCCTTTATTATTGGAATCCAAACTATTTGATTTACTTTTATTTATTTATTAACTTCCACTTGATTTCACTATTCTATTAATTATAATAAATAACGTTAATTTTATTATTAAAATGAACGCATCTAATATTTTTTTAAGAACCACGTTGTTTAAATATATAATATATTTTTATAAAATGGAAGGAGTAATAAGATGAATATAATTATTATTATTTAAAATGGGACAATCATTTTAAAATAAAAGTGAGGGCGTATATTATTGTATTTTACCGAAAAACATGTACACGCAATTATAAGCCGATTCGGGCGTATCTGTATTAAAGAATGAGTTGAAATGTTTGTATCTAGCTAATAGAACCACCGGTTGACTACTACACTAGTAGTATAGAGGAGTATAAAAAGAGTCCCGTACCGTGCCGTGCCGTGCCGTTTGTGTCTGATATTCAAAACATGAATTGGATTTCTTCAGGCAGAGTCAAGCCTCTTCCTCTATCATCACACTTCCGTCTCCGATGCGCCAACACCACCAACTTCTCCAATTCCCCCCATACTACTACTAGTACGTACCTTTCTCCTCCCATTTCCCTTTCTACATTCACATATTCATGTTGATTTTTTTCAGTTCGCTTGGCGGTTTCAACTCCCCGCCTTCCCCTCAAATGTGCGTCCACAAACTTCTCCGATTCTCATCCTCCCGATCCGATTTCGAATCACTCTTCTCACGATACCACGGTACTACTTCCACTTCTTCTATTATTTTGTTACTCTTCTTAGGTTTGCTTTTTGTGAAAATTGTGCTATGCAGATAATCAACAACAGAGTAATGCAGGTTATAATTGTTTTTGCTTGTTTTATTTCTTTTCTCAGACGCGGAAACAAACTATTTTCGACATCCTCAACAACTCAAACTCACTTCTGCCTCCTGCAGTCCTTGCCAGTACTCTGCTAGCTCTTATCTACCCACCTTCTTTAACCTGGTTTACTACCAGGTCTGTGTATGTTCTTCATGAATTGGTTGATCAATATATTGATTTCTTTCATTCATTAATTCGTAATTATTATCTGATGTACTTGCAGATACTATGCACCCGCATTAGGATTTTTGATGTTTGCAGTTGGGGTCAATTCAAGTGAAAAAGACTTCCTTGAAGCATTTAGTAGGCCTGCTGAAATTGCCACGGGTTATTTTGGCCAGTTTGTTGTGAAGCCTCTTCTTGGATATCTGTTTTATATTATTGCACTAACTGTTTTTGGTCTACCAGCAGGAATAGGTAAAAATTCAGAATGGTCTGTCTTTAAATTTTACCATTTATCTGGATTAGTCCTTTAAGTTTCTAATAGACCGCAGACGTAATTTTGGCTAAATAATATTAGAGAGAGAGAGAGTTAGTGGGGTATGCTTTCTAATTTTTTTTTGAAGTAAATGAATCAGGTGCAGGGATTGTATTGGTGGGTTGTGTTAGTGGAGCTCAGCTTTCAAATTATGCAACTTTTCTAACAGACCCACAAATGGCACCATTAAGCATAGTAATGACATCACTGTCAACTGCTTCCGCGGTTTTTGTCACACCACTCTTATTGCTGTTGCTCATTGGGAAGAGACTGCCTGTAGATGTAAAAGGAATGGTGTTTAGCATTACACAGATTGTGGTGGTACCTATTGCTGTTGGTCTGCTTCTAAATCGGTACAACTGTTGTTTCAAATGTAAATAGATTTTTCTGTATTAATGTCGCCTTTAAAGGCGTTGTTTTCTTACATGATTTATTTTTCACAGCTTCTTCCCTCGTATTTGCAACGCTATTCGACCATTTTTGCCTCCACTGTCCGTGTTGGTGGCAGCTATCTGTGCTGGAGCACCCCTCGCCCTTAACGTGGAGGTTATTAAATCTCCACTTGGAGTTTCTATCTTGCTTCTTGTTGTTGCTTTCCATTTGTCAGCTTTTATAGCTGGTTATGCACTAGGTGGTTCTATCTTCCGTGATTCTCCTGAAGTGAAGCCACTACAACGAACACTTTCGTTTGAGACAGGTACAAATTTTCTTCCATTTGCACCCATCAAATGCTTTCACTAGCTTATGTTACTTAAGACTTAAGTATCTTATTTTCATCTATGGCAGGAATGCAAAGTAGCCTCCTTGCTCTGGCTCTTGCTAATAAGTTCTTCAAAGACCCGGTTGTGGGTATGCCTCCAGCAATTTCGGTAAATTCTCAATTCTGGTTAGACTATAATAACAGTCATGTACCCTGTCAGTATAAGCTGTCTTGATGTCTCTGCTTCTTCTCTTTCACATGAACTTATAACTGTACAAATGTGTCTGCACGAATGAAATACTATTTTTCATTTTTCACTTGTTTTAAAGAGACATAATATGTTATACGATAACATCCTTCGTTGCATATCCACGCCATTACATTGATTACTTTTTTGTGTTGGAAAATTCAATTACTGTTTTTTGGTCTAGAAAATAAAAAAGGGGGGTAATCCAGTGCACGAGGCTCCCATTTTATGGGCTCTGGGGGGTCGGATGTACTCAGCCTTATCCCTGTTTTTATAACAGAGAGGTTGAGTCTATATAGTACTGAATCAAAATATCATTTCATTGCGATATAAATGGCTAATTTCTTTTGCAGACTGCAATTATGTCTTTGATGGGATTTGGTCTTGTCTTGATCTGGGCCAAAAAAGGAAAGCATGAGACGAAACACAGCACCTGAAAGGTATGGATTTAGGTGTGTATTATATGCACATTGAGTCCATCTTGTGTCTTAGAGAGCACCGGTACTGCTGAAGCTATTGTAAGGAGAAACCAGTGACAAGAAGAAGTTTGATATCTTATTATACATTATATTACATTAAAATTTAAAAATACTTCACATCACACTACCGGTTCGTTCTAATACAGTTTTTGTGAGGGTAGTGTAGAACCGGTGGTATGAAATAATTGACACTTATCTATTTATGTATAAGTGACTTTTTCAAATTATAGGAACATCAAAAGCAAGTATATGATTAGCAAAATCACACTTCATCAAATAAGAGCTAGCCCATGCAAAACATGGGCTGCATAAAATAATTATAACAGTTTATTTAGTTAACACTTTCTGCAACATTTTAATTATTTCATTTCTCTAACCGTTCTCAGTTACCGTTTTCATAGTTATGTAGTTAGGTTTTTTTTCTTCTTTTTTTCTTCATATCGATATATCAATGAGAGTTTAGTTTTGCTCTGAGCTTTTTTCTTGATACACGTTTTCATTCACGGCTGCTCATGTGAGTTCTTACAATTACCTCGCCTAAATTCTATTAATCCAATTGGAGCATCATAAGAAATTAAGAATTATCTCATACACGACGAGACCAATAGAACATTATGTAGCATGCAAAATATAAATATTCATTACAGTTTTTATCTTTTATAGATTGCCATGTACTTACTAGCTAATTTATCATAAATAATATATTATACGATATAAATGTATCCATGTAAACAAATTATTGATATTTTTAAATCTACAACGTTTGTAAAACAAAAAGAAACAATCTATCCTTCAAACATGAAATCCTGAATCCGAATCCTTACTTTCTGGATGAACTTGAAAACCATGTTTTTCTCCAAACTTGTCTTTCAATGAAATGAATCTGTCAAAATCAATTAAAATACATAATCTATGTTGATGAGGGAACCCAATATTTAATTCATATCCACTTGTCCATTCCCACTAACTCCGGCGTATCATTCTCTTATTACTTAGTGCACAATGCAGTCCATTGGACATTTTCAATCATGTTTTTTTCAAATAGAAAGAAACAAACTTGTTTTCAATCATTCTCTTATTAAATTCTTATTAGTGCAGAATGCACAATGTGCATCATTCTCTTTCACATCATTGTTGTTATTTTCTCAAATAGAAAAGCTATCCATTAAACATTCTCAATCATGTTTTTTTCAATGAAAGAAAGAAACGAACAATAATTGGTCAACAGTTTTTTCAGTGGAATTTATAATCCTGCTAAATGCAAAGCAGTTCCTCATTCTGCTACAAAACATGTATTCAATTTCATGCAGAATGAATCAGTTGCATAATGTAACTAATGTTAGTTGCTCACATCTTTCACTCTTCCATGTTAGAAAACCTCCAATTTACGTGTCATCATGTGCGACCAACGTTTCTTCTAAATTGGTTTCTTCTAAATTCTCGACTTGCTTGGGTTCGCACTTCCTACGTAGTACTCTCATTGTGTTTAGAACCATTTCTTCTATTCCAAGTTTTCTATCTGCAAAGAATAATAAATTCTTTTATGCATGCTTTTGCTATTGGCTTCACAGAGTACAGGAGTTCCAAACTACCTCTCAAATGTGTATCCCAGTACTCTTCGGATTCCTTGCTTCCTGATCCAATCCCTCCGGTATTTTCTATTCAAACAAAACATATTTTTTTTGCTACCATAAAAAATAAAACAAGTTATTATGTTTCTATCATTAGATAATGAAGCAAAAATCAATGTTCATTTTGGAGATTCTTAAGCAAGCAAATTCACTTCTACCTTACGTAGTCTTTGCTAGCACGCTGCTAGCTCTAATCTCCCCGCATTCTTTTACGTGGTTTACCAGCAGGTCTGTCGATTCTCTATGAATTTCTTGATATAAGAGTTATTTTACTTTAATATCATATTTTATCACATGAAAAAAACTTGTATATGATTTACTTATGTATTTACTTGCAGATACTATGCTCCTGCATTAGGATTTTTGATGTTTGCTGTTGGAGTTAATTCAAGTGAAAAGGACTTCCTCGAAGCATTTAACAGGCCAGCAGAACTTTTAACCGCTTATTTTGGTCAATTTGTAGTGAAGCCTCTTCTTGGATATCTTCTTTGCATAATTTCAGTAAATGTATTTGGTCTACCGACAGCAATAGGTGAGGACGATCCCTTTTTTCGATAAGCAAATGTTAATAAGTTTGTAGTTATGTTAGTTTTTAGGATTTGAACTCAACTTCTTCTTTAAAACTCAATCGGTGTCCCTCAGGCGCAGGAATTGTATTGCTGGCTTGTGTTAGTGGAGCACAGCTCTCAAGTTACACTACTTTTTTATCCGACCCGCAAATGGCGCCACTAAGCATAGTTATGACATCGTTATCAACTATTTCTGCGGTTTTTGTCACACCACTCTTATTATTGTTGCTCATTGGGAAGAAACTGCCTATAGATGTAAAAGGAATGGTGTTTAGCATTACACAGGTTGTGCTTGTTCCTATTACACTGGGTTTACTTTTAAATCGGTAAATTCTACATTTCTCAGATAAATTTGTTAGCATTAGTGTTTTCTTAAATGGTGTTGCCTCTCATAATAGTTTTTTATTTTTCAGATTCTTTCCTCATATTTGTAATGCTATTCAACCGTTTTTGCCTCCACTATCAGTATTGATTGCTGCTCTCTCTGCAGGAGCACCACTTGCTCTTAACATTGAATCAGTTAAATCCCCTTTTGGTTTTACTATCTTTTTGCTGGTTGTTGCTTTTCATTTGTCATCTTTTGTAGCCGGTTATATTCTTAGTGGATTTGTCTTTCGTGATTCTCCTGATGCAAAGCCACTGCAGAGAACAATTTCCTTCGAGACAGGTACAACTTTTCTTTCATTTTCAGCCATCGGATGCATGAAGTTGCGTATATTACTTTATTGAACAAATTCATTTGTCTAACACCGGTAGGAATGCAAAGTAGCCTCCTTGCCCTGGCTCTTGCAAATAAATTCTTTGAAGATCCAGTTGTTGGCATGCCTTCTGCAATTTCTGTAAGTTCTATAATCGTCACGTATTTGTGCGCTGGTTTGTGATAAGTTACTTGCGTGACAAGTTACTCTAAGTAGAGTTGTTTTAACAGATTTATTTTATTGGAATTGTAATATAAGTTGATAACTTTGCTTGCAGTCTCCGCTTATGTCTTTGATGGGTTTTTCTCTTGTTCTGATTTGGTCGAAAATAAAGAGCAAGTCAAAACTTGGCAGCTGAAGAAAATATTGATACAGGGGTACATGAATTGGTTCATATCTTGTATCTTAATGAGCTTCTGTAAAACAAAAGTGTTATCACTTTGTCTTTGGAGGATTCTTAGTGACTAACCAATGCATGGAATAAATGTAGCTAAGAATCATAGAACCTTGAGGCCTAATAGAATGAAGCCGCAACCAATCCCGGTAATTCATGTTAGTAGCTTGCTTAGTATTGGAAAAAACTCAAATCTCAATCAGAATAAAGATAAGGTTGTGTTAGAGGTTTTTGCATGAGAGAAAGGAATCCATACAGATAGAAAACTTGGTTTTTCCAATACATTGTGATGGAATTTAACAAAGATTACATATATCTTTTGCCCTTATTAAATTAGAAACAAAAATGATTTTTCTTCCTACATACTTTATTATAACTTTTTTTTACAACAAAGAGATTATTTATATCCATCAAATGATGAATACAATTAAGTATTCCAATTCCCAAAATAAAGATGAGAATTGATATTATACATGGCCATCCTAAAATCTATACAATTAGGTATTGCCAAAACAAAGACCAATACAACTTATTTTTAAAAATATTTTTTTTATGAAATAATTCAAAAATAATAGAAGTTGATATTGAATTGTGAATAATTAGTTGAAATTTGACGACAAACCAAGAAACAAATAATTTACTAAGAGGTCTTTTTTCTAGTTGACTAGAGACTGTCAGACATCATTAAGAAGGAGAATAAGAAATTAATAAAGATTATTGAAACAGTTGAAAATATTATATTTTTGTTTATAAATATGTACGGATTAAATAAGTTTCAGGGCAATGTCTTAAGATACAGGTTAAGAGTCATTAATTTCATTAATATATACTTAGTTACATTAATATGTATTATATGATAGCCAAAATGAGTATATTATATGTATTATTATGAGAGAAAAAAATGAATATATTATATATATTGTATGAGACAGAAAATAAATATATTAAATTTATTTGAAATAATTAGTAATTAAATATATTTAATAATCATTATTTTTAAAGAATATAAGTGTAATCAAGAACAATTTAATATTTCTTATCCAATGCCTTTGCCCAAGTCCAAGGACACTGATATGTTTTATTACAAAAAAAACTTATTATTTTAATATTTTTCACCTCTATAATTGATTCTTAAACTCTTCACTAATAAAGATTATTGTAATCTATTTTAAATAGTTAAGGAATCAATGCCTTAAGGCAACAAAAATAATCCTAAGATTAAGATACTAAAACAAAATTATTAAAAATAATAGAGGGGGGCATTTGCCCCCACACCTGCAGGTGTAAATCATTCCCTTAGAAGAAGAGTTATCTGAAGTGGAGGGCTGAAAAAGCAAGAGGCCAAGAACGAATACCGGTAGCAACAAGAACCTTGTACCTATCAAAACCATGGCAGCAACTACCTTAAACTTATCAAAACCATGTTCTTGTTCTCCCAAAGTCCCGTTTCTGTCTAATTCTAGACTACTACTACTCAGTAGCTGTCGATTTGGAACCTTAAAGCCAAAAGCAGGTCTCTCCCATTTCCTCAACATTGTTGAAACCACCTCTTCATATATTCAACTTCCACTGCAACTCGAGCTTCATGAACCTTCCAATGCTCTCTCTTTGCCTACTTGGGCTGTTCATGTCTCCAGCGTCGTTGAATGGTACCCAACCAACCACT